AAAAGCAACAAACTCACTGGTAAGTGGGAAATGCAGTTATATATTTATTACACTACAATATAGTTTTCTAATTTATAAAAATATCAAAATAAAGATCTTTTCTAGATGCTCCATGATTGTAAAAACAATGATAATATAGTTACAAAATTCAACATACTTAAAATGTAAATTTTATACATGTACTTCATTTAACTATCTATTTATCTATTTCAATTTGATTTTTACTATTAAAAGTATAGTTTGGTCATAATAAATGTTGAATTTTTAATATTAAATGAAAAATCACATGACCACTGTAATATCATGATGAATATGAGGCACAACATATAAAATACAAAAGGTATGAAAAAATACAAAAGTTATTGGACCAGTTGTAAAATCAACAAATGTCATAATCAATATTATGTACTTATCATCATTATGATCAAGTGATCCAAAATTCTGCATAAATAACAAAAGTGCTTTATCTGCTTTTATTTTCATTGTTGAAACTCTCCAACTTTGGACTAACATGCTGGCAATGGCTTCTTTACCCTTCTATGATTTCATAGCTCTTTTGATCAAGAATTGCTTCCTCCTCTCTTGTTGTTATTTGATTCCTAACAGTTCTTTTTTTAGGAACTGCTGGAGAGTTTCATGTTTGGACTTAAGCAGGAATCTACTGGACTGTGTTTTACATCTGCTCTGCTAAAGTACTCAACTGCTCACTTTTCCTCACGTTTACATAATTGTAAACTACATAGATTGGAGGCTATAAAAATTGGAATACGCATTAGAAATATCTAAACAGTGAAGGAGTAATTTATGTTAAATGCAGGAAATCATACAGGGGTCAAGCAAAAATTCAAAAAGGGGAAATTTGAAGAGCAAAACTGTCATGTGAAGTCAGAGAATTTAAATATTTCCTTTTGAAATAAAGTAAAACTTGTATTAAAAATTGAATTATAAATTACAAGTTTACTGACATACATTGATAATAAAGTAGTTTAATAAAATTATGAACATAACAATAAAACATAATGACATGCACACTTTTAGTTGCCCATATTGAAAGAGTTTAAGTTTTTTGCTCAACAGTTATTGGGTGGTAATAAGGGACTTTGGAGTCAGCAAATTGTCTGATGCATTTTATTGAGAATAATGTCACAAGAAATTAAATAATATATTGACTCATGAATCAAAATGCACTAGTTGTTCAACACTGATCAATAACAAGAGAATAGATCAAAAACTAACCTTTTGTTTCTTAGAGCTTGGTTGCAACTTCAGCAATGTGCATTTGGAACCAGCGCGATTGAAGAGACAATTTGGCAGCAGCTGTAGGACTGAAAACCATATGCTTTGTGTTGCCTTACCTGACTAGACAAGTGTCATTATATGCCACTCTCAACCAATGAAAGCTTGCTTTTTTGTTTGGGCTATGGAGCCTCCATTTTATTTACAATCATCAGGAGCACAAGTTTGCTGAACTGAACCAGAACAGGGGTCAGTCCCAAACCCCCATATTAAATTTTTATAAAAACAGGATTTCTGACAAAAACTGAAAAATCACATCCCAAGGACATTTATGCAAATATCTGTCTTTAAAACATCCCTCCCAACTTATACTTATGTACAAGATGCACATGCTTTAGTGTTTTTCAAATATATAACACAAGTTTACTTTTAGTTCTGACTCAATACAAAGCTTATAAAATCTAAAGTCAACAACAAGCTTAGAACTGAAAAACTGTCCTAAATCCTTATTGCGACTTAACAATATAAATGATGTTAAATTCCATAAATATTACACAAAATTAATTAAATATACAAGTTTTTGTCAATGTCTCATTAATTTATAAACTCAATTTTCAAATAAACAAATCTGAAAGAAGTTAAATTCAGTTCACGTCCTTCAAAAGTGTTTGCAATAAAGACTAAAATATGAATACAAAGTTAAAAGCAGATGAATTTCAATTCTAACAGTTTACCTCACATTTTACTGTCATGTAAGTACTATAGATTATAGTACAATATACAATAACAGTGTAAAACTCAAGCCTGACTCTCATAAAGTGATAAATCTACTTGGCCTTCTGTTCATTTCATAATTCAATCAGAGAATTTTTAAATATAGCAACAGCAGAAATGTCAAACATTTATGATGCACAGTTTTTTCTGCATTTTTCCTTTTTATGTTAGACAAGTTCCATTACTTGTCTCATGAATGTGATTGATAGTGCTACTATCATCATCATAACTATGTTACACTTCAGTTTTAACATCTTTAGTAGTGTGCCAACTATGAGTAATACTTAAAGTTTAAGCTTGTTTACAACATAAAAAAAGTGCTATTTCACGTTGTAAAGGAGCATGGTAAACAAACTTTTGCCTAACGTGTAAAAAAAAGAATAAATATAGGTAACAAATAATTAAGTACATAATACTTAATACTTCCATTCTTAAGTTATACCTATGCAAAAATGTTCCAAATGAGATTTATGACTTGGAAATTGAAGAGAGAACTAATCCAAAGAACCAAATTAAGCTCATCGCTAAATCACATATCAGCGTGGCATAAGCACTGTATACCTTTTCTATTAATATTATATACTAATATTAGTAACACTATTACCATCACACTCACACTAGTCACGGTATCAAAGGGACTACAACATTGTCAACATTACAAATTGTGCATCATTACTAAACTCGGTCACTACGAAAAAAAAAAGATTAAAAATCACATGATAGCTTCACAACTACATTTCGCTAAATGTTATTTTGAGAACATTCTATGAAACTAGTCTTTTTTTTGAAAAACTAATTAGGCTTAACACTAAGCCTAGCGTTGCATTCGTTGAACTTTATGTACTAATACTAACGTTAATAGTCAGGGCTAACAGAACATTTTATGACTCAATCCCTAACAGTAACAAAAGAAGAACAGTGAAACCCAGTCTTACCTGGAGATACAGTTTTTTCTAAAATTGTTATAAGATTCATTTTATATGCCTGATGCAAAGTTATTACTCTCAACGAAATATCATCAAAAATTAAAAACTTTCTAAATTATAAATGAAAATCAGGGCAATCCATCAAATTTCCACGCTTCTCAGTACCACCGGCCAGTCTACATGCGGATGCGCTGTTGCTACCTGCGCATTAGTTTATGGCATTCTAAAAATCAGGATATTATAGGTGATGTATATGGCCAAAGATGTCTTTGAGAAGATACTGGAATTAATAATGGCTGGAGACGGCTTGAATGGGTAATGAAGAAAAACTTTAATATGAGTTTAACATAACAGCAAATGTACAACGTTTCGACAAGGTTTTGTCATCATCAGGTGGAATTGTACATCTAACTAATACTAACAGTTTAAATAATCTATATGACACATGCCTCCACTTATATTTTTTCCACTAAAAATATAATGTCAAATAACCTTCAAGTTCATTTTTGTAACATAAGATTTGTTTAAAACCTTCGGCTTAATCAAAGTCATTAGAAACCTTTTAACGTTGTACATTTTCTGTATTGAACTGTAAGCGATTCCTGACTTTGTAGTTTCTTATTAACCTTTGGTCTGACAGACAGACTTACACATTCAGCACATCTTTTATTTCGGTAAAATTCAGTAGCATTCATGTAATAATACTTTTCAAAATACAAAACCAAAAAATTTTTGCAGATTCTAACGCACTGGACAGAAGCAATAAAGTTGTGAAAATATTTAACTCTGATCCCAAAACACGATGTGAAATAGCATGGTATTCAGGTTGACTATTTTCTAACAGGTAAGCATCAAGATCCGCAACAAAGAGCAGATATAAGAAACGTTTTGCAAATATGAACTCAAACAAAACAGCAAAAAGAATAATCCTCAAAATTCATTTAAATAAGAAACAACCTTTCTTTCTTATACATGACACTGGAACTTCTGAGCTCTGACTGTTGAGCAAGTACGAAGCTAAAACTTCTTTACTTTTCATAGGACCAAGTAATATGTCTACACTCAACGAACGACCAAGGATTTTGTTCACATCTCACTTATAATTAAGTCTTAGTATAATATACCACAATCTCAGATCACCTTCTTCAGTGATTCTTTTATTAATCATCCAATGGAAATTTAGGCTTCAGCCCTTAACGCCCCCCCCCCCACTTCCATATGGCCTACATACCGGGAAAGTATTGACTCAGAATGCAAAGCCCAGTAAGTATAAGAGCGGTATATAAGCATACCATGTGTTTCATTATCTCCTTGTTATTTTTTACTTGCGCAGACTACACATAACATCTGGGTAAGGAAGGTTGTTCTGTTCCTTTTCCTCTAGTTACCTATTGTTCTATGTCATTCACCTCGATTAGCACATTTTGTCTTCCCATGGTAAACATATGTACAAAGTTACCTTGGGTAAATCCGATGTTAAGTAGCTCATGTTTTATTTATTGAGTCTGAAACATGATCTTCAAATATACTGTCTGAAACAAAAGATCACCAAGTTAGTTTTACCATGTGATTAAGAGTACCTTCAGAGCTAACATTCTAGTAAAAGTAACTGTCCATTATAACTCATAAAGTATGCATTTTTACTGTGTTTGTTTTAAATAAAGGTTGTCCATTTTAATTGTACACTTGTATTCTGTGTTTTTATTTCTCAATAATTCAGTTAGTCAAAGAATATAGATTTATTTCACAATAGATATCTTGTTGAATCTCCCTTTATTAACTGCACATTTTTTGTCACTTTTAGGAGTATTTGTGTCTCATCTGATGTGTGTATTGCACTTACTTAAAATCTTGTATATCTAATTTTAGAAGGCTTTGTTTGGATGGCGGTTGCATTTTCTTTCACCCAAAGGACTTATCAACATGATGGAGAGTTGGTCCCTGAAGGAAAATATTGTATAAAAAGAGATTGTCAGGTCTAGGAGAAATTTATTCCCGGACATAGGACTTTTTCAGATACAGTGAAGCTCTAGGACTTTTTTTCGTTGAAACAGAAAACTTTAAATGGATGACTGTTGACGTATAGTGTACCCAGATTGGTTGGTCAACTTCTTTTCTTGAAGATTGACCTCAGTGTGAGGGCAGTATCCAAAAGCAACTAAGAATCATCATAGTGATATGGCGCTTGGCAAGTCTCAGACTTAATGGGAAAATCTAGATAGATTTCCCAGGTCTTCAATAACCATAGTAATTCCATTCCAGCCCTGGTCAACAGATTAACTGAGGAGAACTGTAAGTGTAGTTGGTAGACACCATCCACCAACAGGAGCTATCTTACCAGCTGGTGAGATGATGAGGACATAATAGTGGGTAAATTGATTGATGGGATAGTTGCGAGCCTCTACAAGCTGTGAGGTTCCCTTTTAAGGCGACCATGGATCACAGAGAAGTTGCGAAGACAACTCGTCATTTTGTATCCCTGAATAATGGATTGGTTACTTAACCATTAGTTGGGATTCCTAAATATGCTTACCAACTTGTATCAGCAGTGTTGATGACATCTAATCCAGCTGTTGGCTGAAAGATGGAAGGAGAAAGGCTTTGCCCACAACCATGAACCCTAGGAGTGATGCAAAGCAAATCACGTCCACAGTTTTCAAGGGTACAGGGAAGGAAGATGTGGACCATGTTCTAACACATTTCAGGGAGGTAATTGCCTGTAATGGATGGTATCCAGAACAGGCCACCCTACACCTGATCTTGAATATGGACAGTCCAGCCTGGGTGTTGTCAAACACTTTAACAAGGCCTCACTTTGGAACTGCATGATAGTCATTGCTGAACTGTGCTGACAATTAGACTCAGTTAGAAATTGGACAATTTAATCTGCCATAATTGAGGCTCAGAACAGGGTCACCACTGAGGGTCTGGTCACTTGTGTAAATGATCTGAACTATTTGCATAGGAAGGCATACCTGGCAATGGTTTCTCAAATCGAGAAGATATCTTGATGAATAAGTTCGTTGAAGGACTTCCTGGAGAAGCAATGAAACATTATGGTAAAGGATGTTCTCATCTTAATAGTTCTCTTGTACATTTAATTATATTATACCTATATATAATAGAAAATCAAAGTTTTCATCTATCAAATGACATATTGTATAACATTGTGTTCTGAACAGATAAGCCTCAATTTCACTCAGAGTACAAGCTTCATTCCCATGGGAAAGCTAATGACTAGCTTGTATGAATTTGCAACGGCTCTTGTCGCATAGTTAGAAAGCCAGAAACAATTTTGAGAGATAGGGGACATTGTCTACTTTTGGCATGCTATTAGTCTATGTTTTTGGTACATTATTCAATTAATTATAATTATTTAGTGCATTACTACCATTAGTATAGAAAAAGTAATTAAAATGTAAAAATATAAATCTTTTTAAGTTAGTTAAAATTAAAATAGGTAAAATAACGAATAATATTATAAAAATGTTTCACGCGGCACGCAAGCGAGCAGCTCGTAGTCTCTCGTGGGTAATGTAATTCGAAAGCATAATGTTACGTCTCCATTCGTTTGTTAATTTTCCGTAAAAATTCTTTCCGAAGAAACTTTACCGATACAAGTCCTTTCTTAAATAAAACTGGTTTATTCTTTCTAAATATAACTTTGCGATACACTTAATTTCAACAATCACGCTATAACAAACGCTATAATCTAAACGAACGTCTCACGTGCTCAACAATATTCTCTCTGACTGCAGTTCAATTACTCATCGTTCTGTCACATTGTGACCGTCTTATATATACAAGACTAACACACCTCTAGTAAATGCTAGAGCATTCACGTAGGAACAGGATATTTCTAGAAGGACGTGGCGTGATACTAGTCACGTGACCTTGCTGACGCAACAATAACGTGAGCTGAGGGATTTACAACTTATTATGGTTCGAATAATAGTTAGACACGACTAAAAGAGAAATAAAACAATATAATTTAATTATAAATAGATGTATA